TGAATGTGATTCTGGACTACGTTACGGACTTATCAGCACTTATCTCCGCCCGGACAGGGCAAAAGGCGCCTTCCTCATCCTCCTACGGATCCCTCCGGTAAGTGCTCCCTGCTCTTTTTGCAACTCTTGCAATCATGGGAAAATCTCTCTCTGCACCACAGAAAAATTTTTTTAAAGACCTTAAATTCCTTTTGGCCAGTAACAACCTTGCTGTTCGGAAAGCTGACCTTAAGTCCCTTATAAAAGCCCTGGACACTCACTGCCCCTGGTTCCCCCAGGACGGAAATTGGGAGTTAGACGATTGGAAAAAAATTGGACACTTCTTTCAAAATCATCCTCAGATTGATGTCAAGGTTTTGCACGCCTGGAGTAACGTCTACAAAGCTATGTCGTGCTTAACTCCTTCAAACATTCTTCTGGCTGCGGCAACAGCTTCTTCGCCCGCCCTCCCAGCTCCCGCTTTGCCTGCCTCAAACCTACCTCCTAAACCGCCGGACATTCTCTCTTCAGCTTCTCCCGTCACTCCCCTGCATTCTTCAAATTCTGCAGCACCCCCCGCTCTTCCACCTCCTCCGCCCAAGGCATTTGGCACCGCTTCTACTACTCCTCTCCAAGAATCTCTCCGCGCCGCTGCCCCATTGTTGGGTTTTGATTCTACAACTCCTAATCTTTTTCCTGTGAGTGTTACTGCCGCCCCAGGGGGAGGCCCAGCCCGGCACGACCAGTTTGATTTGAGATTCATAAAGGAAATGTATTCTTCTGTCAAGGACAATGGCCCTGCACCCCCAGCCCCTGTTATGCTGAACCAAACTGATGTTCTTGATGGCTTAACTGGCGAAGGCAATTTTCTTACTATTGCCCAACAGTTGGCCCTTGATCCCATGTATTGGACAGCTACTACTGCTGCCGCCCAAGGAGCTTTGTCCTCTGTTCCTGATGACAAGAATGAGCGCGGTGGCAGCGTCAGACAGGGTCCTACAAAGCCCTATGGACAATTTGTCGATCGCTTGGATAACACTCTTAAGCGGCAAGTTCAGGACGTAGCAGCCCAAGAACTGATTGTCCGCCAGCTTGCGTTTGAGAATGAGGACTGTAAGCAAGCGCTGCGCCCTTTGATGACAACACCAAATATAGTCATTGCAGATGTGCTTAAAACCTGCCAGTCAGTGGGCACTGAGATGCACAAAGCTCGCCTGCTAGCCACGGCTTTGTCCTCCACCGTGCCCCAGAATCCTGCAAAGGATAAAACCTGCTTTGGATGTGGCAAAGTGGACTATTTTCGTGCGCAGTGCAGATCTATCGCACAGCAATGTCACTCCAGCACAAAGTGCCCCATCTTTGATACAGGCCAGGACTTGTCAATTTTATGAAGCACATCTTAGATCACATATTGGTCACCCTGGTTATTTGGCAACAGGAATTTTACGCCTGCTGAACTTAATTTCTGGAAGGAGGAAGTATTGCAACGCCCTTTAGTGTCATACAGGTTGCTTCCAGATCCACAGTGGAAGGGTCCAACTTCTTTGATTCCACCTAATCTCAACCTGCACTGCAATTGGAGACATCGCCATATTGATGTGCCCTGGATAAAGTCACCTTCCACAGCTGTTCCAGTGTTTCTTGGCACGTTGAAAGACCATCTTCATCTCCACCGCATTGGCCCCCCTTTTCCCTGGGAAGCCACTTCAACCATCAAATATCATTACAGTTTTGCTGCTTCTTGTTTGGGAAATGAGCCTGGCTTTGAAGGATGCCCTCGTCAGACCGGCATCGCTTGGATTTACCCCACAGATCTCTTTTTTTTTCCTCCTCCCTCAGGAGTCCTGCCCTATGATGTGTTCCCCTGAGCATGTACAGAGGGCTGTCTTGGAACTATTGTGGACTCTTGGCAAGGGAGGGGGTGAAAGGATTTCAGTGTGTTCCAGTTGTTTCATTCTTGTGCTTTGGCATGGTTCCCGGACAGAAAGCAAGTTGCAATATGGTTCTTCAGCAAGGCCTGGAAGACAATGGACTCTGTTCTCTACCTTGTTGCAATTTTTTTTTAGTTACAGCAAACAGCATATGCTTAGCTACTGCCTTTTAGCTGCTGAGAAAAATGATTTTTAAAAGCTTCTCAAAGCTTTGAGCTTTTTTTGGTGGTGGTATTCTAGCATTCCAGTAAATGCTTCATATAAGATTAGCAATAATATGCAGGACAATCGTATAAGTTTTTAGGTCATTATCTATATTGTAATTCGACCTATGAGTACATTAATGGATCTTCTTGTTTTTTTTTAATGTTACCACTTCTGCCTTCTTTAGGTGCAGCCATGAATTACCGTGATTTGCATAAATTGGCAAACTGGACAGAAAATTTGTTTAATTCCACCATTTTGGCTTTAAAAAATGATTAACAAAGAAATATCAGAAATAAGAAATGTAGTTCTTCAACATCATTATGCTTTAGATGTGATCCTTGCTTCTAAAGGTGGAATTTGTGCCTTAATTCATTCTCATTGTTGTATGTATGTAACTGATCAATCAACCAATATTTCTGCTACTATTGATCATATGGAACAAATGATAGCCCATAATCCTTTGAATCCACCTGAAGGTTTTGATCCATGGGAGTGGTTGTCTTCTTGGTTACCTAATGGATTATGGTTAAGAAAAATATTATTGATTGTAATTGCATGTATTGCTGGCTTCATTATGGTGTGTTGTTGCATTCAATGCATACCCTCTTTGATTTCCCAATGCACTGCATGGTGGTACCGACCACGGCCCACCACAGGGGTTACAAGAGGAATTTATGTTGCAAAGTGTAGACGCGTAGGCAATGAAGTGTACGATTTGGACTGATGGTCCCTCTTTTCCTCTAATAATATAAACAAGAAAAGGGGATATGTGGGAAAATGATTGCTTGTACATGAGAGCATGAGCAAAGTTCTTATTGTTACAGGGTGATTTCATAGCTAGAAGCATCCTTGGAGCATGAACAGCGCGTGAACAGCTCGTGCTGTCCCATATGATTGGCTAACGTAGCATGGCCTGATCGCTCGCATGGTCTAGTACGAAGGTCTTTATCTGCTGGCTAGAACAAATTGCTTGGCTTGTATTTTTTGTATCTTTCTGATTTCACACAATAAAAGCTGTGCTGCATTAGCCCTAGGAGCGGCCATATTTCGGAACCTATTATGGTGTGAGACTGATTTTTCTTTGGATGCCGAGCTGCAACTCGACAATTTAGTGCTCTTGGTTTGTCTGGGAGAGCTAAACCTCAAGCCGAGGTTCAGATGACAAACTAATCTCTGACTTCGCTCTGTTCAGTGTAGCAGCAGGACGACCAAAGGGGGAATGAACCCCACATGCTCCTTCACTCAGGGTTAGCCATGCTTTGCCTTAGTATTTTTTTCACTAATTGATACAAGTCATTATCCTGTCTATAATCTTTCCCAAAAAAATATACAGCTGATTTCCCCCCCTGAAAAGAACAGTTAGTTTGGCATCAGAAGCTATTATTTCTTTATGGCCAAAATATCAAATTCCCAATCTTTATTCTTTTTGGGGGGGAAGAATTGGGATCTTGAATAGGTAGCCTTTGGGCACAATCCACCAAACACTGCTGTAGCACAACTTCTTTTCATTTAATTGGTATTTGTGTGGGGCTCCTATTAACATGAATGGCAGCTGCACAGCAGTAGTGCTTAGTGGATTGCTCCTTTTCTCTTCCTGGTGACAGGGAACTGCAGAATATTTGTGCCTCTTATTGATGGGCTGAAAATAAGAAAAGCTATCAGATAAAAGTGCTTTCTGTTTTATAGACAAATGTATAAAACTGCTTTGTTCTTTAGAAAATCCAGTTAAGAGCACTTCAAACAAAGTGCCCAAGTGATAGGCTCCCCAAGCACACGTAATGGCAAAATGGAAGTGTTGTGATGTGAAGGGTGTTGTAATAAATTGTTCCCACTGCTTGTAAACAATGAGGAGTAGAGGAATCGGAAAGCAAAGCTGATGTAGCAAAATACATCTACTGCTGAAAGTCTCCTTTTTTTGGAATTCAATTATGCTGGTTTCCAAAGCATTTACCAGTACATTCATTTTTCTTTTAGTCATAAAACCTTCCACAATATATATATTTCACACATACACGGATGCATACACACAAGAAGATCTTCTAATGTAAGCTGTGTCCAAAGTATTTGCACACAGATTTCAGGGAACTCAGGACAGACCAATATTCCTTTTGGGGAAAAGTTTTTAATCTGACCTCCAAAATCACTAAACAATCTATCCCTCCTAGTTCGGCACTTGCCTTATTATATTAGATTTGGCCCCAAATTTTATCCTTATTTCTAAAGAATTAATTTCCTTCCTCTTCACAGCAGCTTGACTAGTTATTGCCCAACGATGGAAGGAATCTTCTAAAATGCCAATAGAGGCTTGGATTATTAACATCTGGAGTATTGCTCTATCAGAAAGTATTGCATACCATCAGTGGCTAATCAAAGGCATCTTCCCCCCCAAAAAATACATTTGACATGATCCCTTTTTCTCTTTTATTGAAGAAAGCTAGGGTGTTTAGCTACTGAAATGTATTGTCCAAGCAAAATACCAAGAAATAATAAAGACAGCCTCAGATACTTTGCTGAAGTTTCAGATATTCGGTATTTGTGAACACACACATGCTCATTGCATCCCCACTCATATTTAGAGCATCATGGGAGGTATAGCAGCTAGAGAATGCTAAAATGTAGTGGGAGAATAGAAGAAAAGGAGGTATTGCATGAGGAAAGTTAGAAGTGGTGAAATGTGGGAAGGAATGGAAAGGGCTTTCTATGCTTTTAAATTATATTTCTTTGCATAATCTATATCATTTCAGCATAGGTTTACAGAGTAGCAAGAAACAAAGAGTAAATGTAAAATAAGAAGAAGAAGCAAACTATAGAAACCAATACAACAAATTCAAACAGCCACAGCCAACTTGAATTTTAAAAAATCAAACTGTAACAAATACTTACATTAGAAGTTCTTAAAGACTTGGAAAAGGGAACTGTTTTTGCTTGGCACCTAAATGATAGTAATGAGGTCTGCCTAAGCTGGCTTTCTGCATTCCAAAGATGAGAAGCACCACAGAAAAGACACTTTGGAAGAATGAGCAATAAATCTAAATGTGAAACTGTTTGTAGTGCTTTCCTGGGGCTGCAGATCTTTAATCGTTCCACGATGAACCTGAAAAAACTGAGACACCTAATATTTCTTAGTCAAGTGGCCTGGTTAAACTCTACATTGAACAAGCAAGACTGCCACTTGCCTTATGACCATCCACAATGTAGAAAGAAAAGCAGTCTTCAAATTATTGTCAACAGATGTAATTCATCCTTGTAGAACTTGCTTATGTTCTTGAAGCAGTTCATAGTGTGGCTTACTCTTACTTTTTTTCAGATGCATGATGCACTGCCTACATTTCTCCGTGTCTTATTGCACTTTGATCCATAACTAGTTAAGTGAACCCTTTAGGGAAATCATTAGAGAATTGGAACAGTTGTGGTGAGAGACTGAAGGGTCAAGCCACTACTTCCACATGGGACCATCTCCTTAAAATGAGCTTACTTCTCCTCTAAAAGCAGGTCAAGTGTCAGGGAAAGTTGGCATAGACAGGTCACCAGCCCAATGCTTTGCTTTAATTTTAGAATAAAAGCATTCAAAGCCTGCTAAATTTTGCTCTGATAAATAAAATTAGTTTAAATCATGCAAGTGTAAAACTTTCTGATTTGATCTTAAACACACTTATATGGAAATAATTTCAGTTTCCTTTGAGATTGAACTTCCAAGTAGATGTGTTCTGTACAGAGGTTTAGCCTGCCACATCAAGATCAAGTACGGTAACTTTCTGTCTTGAAATTGTTGTCAGTTGATTTTTATTTTTCCAAATCTTTACTCTTTTATCTTACCTCATTGGAAGACATTAAGGAACAAGGTATTACTAATAGGTTTTTTTAAAATGATAAAAGTGGCTCCTCAAAACGCTGTCCCAGAATTTAACTTTACCTTTTCAGAGACTATTTCAATATAATGTCTGGAATAGGATGGCCGGTTGGCAGACTGCAAGGTAGATACAATGCCACCCCCACCCCCCACTTCTGTCTGACACACACCAACCGTTTCCCATATTATACTGTTTTCTAGCAGTTTCACTTGGAAAGAGAAGAAGAATATTTTACAGTTGTGAAAAACAGATTACACACTTTAGTGTTCCGTGTTTTCTTTCTGGTTTTATGTGTATGTAATCTCACATTATTATTATTTTTTAAAAAAACTTTGCATGCTGCGCAACGCAGGTGGACCTGACATGAAAAGAGCTTTTAATCTCTCTGCCTTGCTTGTGGGGCAAGCCCTCCTGGAGTGCTGGGATGCTCTCGTGAGATCTTACAGGGCTATCAGAGTTTTCACATGAGCATCTGAAGCTGGCTCAGCAAGCAAGGCATATATTAAAAGCTACTTTTGTGCCTGGTTTTCCTGGCTTGAAAAGCACTTTTAACTTCTCTGCCTTGCTTGCTCAACACACCGGCCCCAGAAGGCTGGGGCTGCTCATATAAGATCTCACAGGAACTTGGAAAGCCCTGTGAGATCTCTCGAGAGCATCCCAGAGCCCATGTGCTGTGTGGGCCTTAAATGCTCTCTGCCTTGCTTGCAATTAACATGTAGTATTTCAGCCAGCCAGCCTTCAACCATGTATAGTTGAAATTGTGCAAGTTAAATGCACGTAAGATATGATTTTACTGTGTATTGTAATCTTCCTCATGATATAGATAGCCTGGTAGCTTTGTCTGACATGTATTTGTATGCAGACTACATGTCCTCCATAATGGGGAAATCCTCGCATAGTGGATTCTGCCAACTTTGTTTTGGAGCCTTTTTGAAACTTCGTGAGGCAGAATATACAGGCTCGCTGTTTTAAAGAGTAATGGGGCTCCTGAGAGTTGGATATCTCTGATCTAAAGCTATAGCTACAATGTTGATTATCTAATGCAGCTTTCCCCGCTTTTAGCAAGAAAGACCAGCTTTCCATTTCATTAATACTTCAATCCTCAAATGCTCCCTTAATTTTACCAAGTTTGCATCAGTGCAGCATGTAAATAATTGTGCAGTAAATGAGACAACTTATTGGATGGTAGAAATATGAAAGAGACCCAGCAGGCAACATTCCAATAACACTTTCATTTCTGCTTACATCTATTATTTTATATATTGTATGTACATATACACAACCATGAGTTTCCTTGTCTATTAACGTCAAACTCTATTTAAAATTCTTCGTGTTTGGATGAGGTAGCTCTGATCAGTGGTTAGCAAGTAGGTTGGAGTAAGCTTGATAACAGAAGCTGAGATCATGGTTGTAGTAACTTCCATGTTTTAATCATATGAAATGGAATATTGGTTCTGTAGCAAAGTGACAGACTGATACATCAGAAAGCATGATAAATTTAGATATGCAAAATAATGGGGGAAATGTCTTTGGGGTTTTTTTTTTGAAGTTGTGGTATTTCTCAAAAATGCTTATTTGATGTAGCTGACAAATCAAAGCATCATCAAGAGCTCACAGTTTGAGAAAGCATCATGTTAAAATATATAAGGACCCATAATTTGATGAGCATCATGTTAAAATATATAGGGACCCATAATTTGATGAGAACTGTGCTAGATCACAGATGATCTACTTCATGGCTTATGATTTCACAGAATGGCCTGTCTTCACAATTTGGTTCTCTTATATATCACTTTTGGGAATTTTGTGCATAAGCAACAAACTGTAAAAGCAACTTTTATTCCCTAAGAATTGGTTATGGTAGATTCCTTATTTTGTAGTTTACATACCCATTTACTGTTATACGAAAATGGCCTAAACAGGATAATTATACCTGTGGGAGTGAGTGGGGAAAACAAACCTAAAAACAGAACATTTTGTTAGGTTTCCCCATGTGTATTATGTGGGGTCAAGACCCAGTCTTATGCCGCTTAAACAATTGGATCCTGTTGACATGTAACAAATAATCAGCTAATTCGTTGCTGTGGCAATTGGCTTTCTGCCCAAACTGAATATAGATACTGCTGAAATCAGAAGTTCATATCATTTCAGTGTGAAATCCATGCACATCAGTTGTCATCATTACCTCAAAAGAAAGGTGTGCCACTGGACTGAATCAGTGCACAGGATCAAACTAGGCAAAGAGATAAGAGCTTATAGAAGCCCCTAAGAGTTTTAACCAGGGCTTTTTTCTGCACCTGTATGGCTACAACACTATAGTGGTGCAGAAATGCACCAAAGAGGTGCTGGAACTCAATTCCAGCAGTTTTAATGGTATCGTTATTAACATTGTAGCTCCACTTCCATACTTTGGGGGGATGTAGTAAGGTAAGCAACAAGAGTGTGCAATGTGCTATTTGCAGGGTTTGAAACACTCAAGCCATATACTTTCCCCCATCTAACATCTGTCACATTTGTCTGGTGCATTTTGGAGGAAGGGTTAATTTCTATTTTGAAATGTAATGGATGAGATTCAGAATATTCCCTTGCATGAAAAGCATTTCTTTTAATGCAGTGAGTAGAGCCCTTATTTCTGCCACTTTCCTTCTCTAGCTGCATACCCCGCCCCCATGCCAACACTTATATATGTGCCACCTCCCACACCTTTGCAGTTTGAACTAGACGGATGTTGTAATCATGTCTTGCTTGTGGGCTTCCCACATGCATCTTGTAGGCCAATGTAAGAACAGGATGCTGGGCCATTGCCCTGATTCAGCAGACTCTTCTTATGTTTTAGATGGCCAGCCTACTCTCAGGTGGTACAGGGAGTGGGAAAGCCCATTTCTGCAGCCAGAACCCCATTTATGCTTTTCTAGATCTGTGCCTATATATGTAGCTCATCCAAGATCTCAGTCTTTTTGTTTTTAGGTTTCTGCTACTGGTTGCTAAATGAGATGAGTTGTAGCATGTGCTAAAAATTCAAAACCAGAGCTCAAATAGCTTGTACATGTGTTTTAAGTGACTTGATTTCTAGGCAGTTGTTGGTTTGGGGAGATGGATTCTCAGTTGATTTCTCAGTTGATTCACACTTAACAAATCCAAAGTATAAGAGCAGCATGACATGTCCACCAGCTTTGGCTTCATCTTCAAATTATTAATACAAGTGGTATTCTAATGGCATTAATTGTTGCTGTTTAGTCATTTAGTCGTGTCCGACTCTTCATGACCCCATAGACCAGAGCACGCCACTGCCTTCCACTGCCTCCCGCATTTTGGTCATACTCATGCTGGTAGCTTCGAGAAAACTGTCCAACCATCTCGTCCTCTGTCGTCCCCTTCTCCTTGTGCCCTCCATCTTTCCCAGCATCAGGGTCTTTTCCAGGGAGTCTTCTCTTCTCATGAGGTAGCCAAAGTATTGGAGCCTCAGCTTCAGGATCTGTCCTTCCAGTGAGTACTCAGGGCTGATTTCTTTAAGAAAGAAATGACGTTAATTACATATATCTGAAGCACAGATACTAGTAGGATCCTCCAGCACTCATTATTTTTACATTGTAGTTGTCAGTGGAGAACAAGTTGCCTACTGTTGCTGTAGTTTGTGCTGCCTTTAGTCTCTACACATTGTGGATAGGGACATGAACACTTGCAAAATAAAAGACATTATAATTGCGGGTGGTTTTGCAGGCTTTCCAGCAGCTCTGTCAAATTGTAATCCAGAACTGAAAAGTAGACAGTTTCTGCTGCTGCTACATAAAGAAATCTGTTCCTGTAACACCTCAATCTGCTTGTGAATTGAATGTCCTCTGAAATAGAAAGTACAGCTTGCCTTGGCAGTAACAGATGTCCAACACTTACACTTTGTTTCAGGACATCTACAGCTCAGAACCCATTTTCTCTGCCTCTGGATGTGTTGTTACTAATGGACAATCTTGTTCTGAATTCTGAGACGGTATAGACCAATTTGGCACTCTTTAAAATAAATACAGAGAATCTTCACTTGGAAGATGCTGCTCCATCTACTGACACTGAAAATGATGAGTGGTGCGTAATGAAAGGCTGCAGAGCCTGGAGAAGCAATTATTTGAACGCTACTCCCATCGTTACACATCAGTACT